AATAATATGTTTGGGCCTACTCCGCCCACTTACTTGTTTTTCAATCTCCCAAACGCCCTCTTAGACTGAGTGTAATGCCCCATGCCCAACCGCCATGGCATTAACATGTTTCCGTGTAACCACACGGAACACCCCCCCCCCCTATCTATGATCAAAGGGTCGTGGTCACAACCATGCTCTTCTGCGTTTTTTCATTTTCATTCTTTTTTGGTTTCCCCCTCCCCAACAGTCACTTACATTTTAAAAAAACTAAATTTCAAATTTCAAACCCCCTATAGTCTCTCTTCTGTCTAAACCTTCTAATTTTTTATATTTTTCAACACATTCAATTCTTATTTCTTTATTTATATTCTATTATATTGAAAAGATGAATAATTTGTACACTATTTCTTCTGAATCGTCTAGTGATGACAAAATATTTATAGATGTAGTTCAAATATCAGCTCGTATTATCGCGAGTTTAATTTGAGCCAGAACGATAACGAAAGGGTCGTTAGACGATGAATCCGAATCAATCGAGATCGTGCGGCCGCAAACTATCGTCTCATAGAAGATTATTTTTCTGCCGAGCCAACGTACGACTTGACATTTTCCAGACGCTTCTGGATGAGCCAACCTCTTTTTTTGTAGAATTACCGATGAGCCGGTTAGTGTTAAGTGTTTTTTTAATGTACTTTATGTTTTTAAAATTTAATTATTTCATGTACTTTTTTAACTCATGTAATTTCTGATTTTTTAAATTGATTTTTTTGTGCATTAAATTTTTATAAAATAAAAAGAGTGAAAAAGATTATTAATCCAAAATCGGAAAAAAATTAATAATGAGATAAAATAGAATAAACTTGAAAATAAATTTTAATTAATATTAAAATAGATAAAATATTATTATTTTATACTCCCTCCGTCCCATTTTATAACACTTGTTTTGGTTTACGATGTTTGACTAAAATTATTTTCAAATCATTTTATATGACAAATGATATATAGTTTAAAAATAAAAATTACATATTAAAATACTACATCGAAATCTACAAAACTAGTAGTGACAATAGTACTTTATTTTATCAATTTGCTAACGAAAATTGAGAAAGAAAGTGAATGAAGTTTGACTCTGTCCATCCCTCCGTTGGGACAGAGGGAGTAAAAGATAAAATTTAATGTGAATAAGAATATGTAAATATTCAAAAAAAAGTTAAAGTGTAATCATTATAGTAGATGTGAGACAATACAGGTGTAAAGTGAATGAGATGGTGAGTGCTATCGACGATGATGTGATTTTGAATGACCGTTGATTTGGAATGAGCGGTCATGAAATGATACAGAGAGCCTTAACATTTTAGAATTAAATTAATTACGGGATAAAAAACATGTTACTAGTAATATACTACTCCATCTGTCCCATTTTAAATTGTCTTTTTGCCTTTTTTCTCCATCCCAAAATAAGTTGCCTGTTAGTTGTTTTCGTAAACTTTTAAAAATAAAATACCTAAACTACCCCTAAAATAAGTCACTTTTATTCACCTTATATTCTCATTCATCATCACCCCTCTTAAAAAGTTATGGCAATTTCGAAAAATCAACTCTATTTTTTATTTTCCTTAAATATGCCCAAAAGTCAAAACAGACGATTTAAATTGGGACGGAGAGAGTAACATGAAGTATTAATGTGCATAGTTATGGAGAAATATCACACTACACTATTCAAAAATTACAAAAATTTTATTTGTTTGTGTGTTATCATTTATATGTATAACTTATCTTTAATTTCTACATATAATAAATTTAAGGCATAAAATTTTGTACTTTTTTTCAAAAAGATAATCTATTTTATGAGAGAATGGGCAAGTAATGTAATTAGTTCAAATGGTAAAATAAAAGTAAAAATTTAAAAATATAATATGCTTATTGAAAGGCAAACATAGTTCTAAATTTATCGATTTTAGTTCTAATCGGGTTCGGATATTATCGGTTTCAGATCTAATCGGTTTTGGATTTTATCGGTTTCGGGTATTATCTGGTTCGGATCTAATCGGTTTTGGGTTTAATCGGTTCGAATATTATCGGTTTCGGATCTAATCGGTTTCGGATTTAAATCGGATATGAATTATTTAGTTCGGTTTCGGTTCGATTCGGATCATTTCAGGTTTTCGGTTATAGATCGGATCTTCATTTTTCGGGTCATTCCGGTTTCGGTTTCGAATATTTCGGTTCGAGTAATCGGTTCTGGTTCTGTTTTGCCAGGTCTAAGTGCCATTGTGCTATCGGTTCAAAGATTTGCGGTATGAACGTTGAAGTACTTGGCCGTTGAGTTGACAAATGGAAAGGCTTGTACCGGTAGGCACGTTGCGTATCACAACCCAGATCACATGATTCGGTGAACCCCGCGTTTAACCCAACCAGGGTCTAACACGAAACCAACCCACCCACCCACCCACCCACCAGGCCACTCCGTAGATATCTCCCCCAACCAAAACTCCCCCAAACGCTCCGTCGTCGATCCGACGAACTCTCTCTGGCACCAACCACGGCTGTGACCACTGCCAGACCATGGCTTCCGTTCAAGACCAGACCACTGTCTACAACGAGGAAGACATCGACGATGAGGAGGATGAAGAGAGCCTAGATCGGCCGCGCAACGTCGTCCTTATGGACGATGAAGACGACGATGAAGACGTGGAGGATTATTCTACTTCTTCCTCCAACCTTGCCGCTCCCGGTCCCCTCCACCTCTCTTCTCTATCCCCTGCTCCGAGGGCCCCGCCTTCTTCAGGCGACGTCACCATCGCCGTCGCCGGCGTTAACTGCGATCCAGTCCATCCCAATTTGAATCCGCATCGGATCGATAACATTGCAGTGGCTGCGTCCTCCGTCTCAGTCTTCCAGGAGAAAAAGCCATCAGCTGCGTTTGATGATTCCCGGAAGCTGTTCCAACGGCTGTGGACAGACGAGGACGAGATCGAATTGTTACAAGGGTTTCTGGAGTACACGACGCAGCGCGGAGCGATTAATTCATCTCACCACCACGACACCACCGCTTTCTACGACCAGATCAAGAACAAGCTGCAGCTGGATTTCAACAAGAACCAGCTGGTCGAGAAGCTCCGGCGGTTGAAGAAGAAGTACCGTAATATCGTAGGTAAGATCGGTGCCGGAAAAGATTTCGTCTTCAAAAGCGCCCACGACCAGGCCACATTTGACATCTCTACCAAGATATGGAGCAACGGTGGCTCTGCTGTCCGTGGTGGCTCCACAGCTGCAGCGGATACGGGCGGCGGCGGATTTGAAGATGAATACGCAAACCCCTACCCTAACCAAAATCCCAACATTAGCCCTAACCCTAAATCTAATTCGATTGAGGCAAAAACACCTCGACCAAGAAAAAGATCGAGGGGAGGTGCTGCGGCCGCCCTGAGAATGGACGAAAAACAAGGGCTGATCAGTCAGCCATCCGCTGGAGTTAGAGTGGTAGTAACACCTGCAGCAAACACCACTACGGCTACGGTTCATCAGACTGCCGCCACTCAGATGCCGAGTACAATAGAGGACACCGTCAAAAGTTGTCTCTCTCCCATATTCAGAGAGTTACTGAACAATGTGACATGTTGGAATGGTGGAAGATGGAGAGGGTTTGAGTTCGGAATGGCTTCGAGTCCATTGGGCTTCGGAGTAGGGTCTCTGAGTGCCGAAATGATGGCGGATGAGAGGTGGAGGAAGCAGCAAATGCTTGAACTGGAAGTTTATTCAAGGAGATTAGCGTTGGTTCAGGAACACATAAAGGCACGACTGGATGAGCTGAGATCAATGGGAAGCTGATGATGATGATGATGATGCGTATTTTAAATAATTACCCTAATATACATTATGTGTGGTAGGTGTCTTAAGCTTATCCATTGTTGACCACCATGGCTGAAAGATTTACTGAGGAGGCATTCCGAGATCTGTTCAGATATCTTAACTGTGGCTGTTAAATAACGCGAGTTTAATTTGGTATGACCGTGGCACAGCTTGTTCGAAAAGTTTATAACTTTGTGCAGATAGATGATTAACTTGTACATGGGAGTAAATTAATGGACAAGGTAAAGGAGCTCTTTTTTTCATTTGCCAACACATTTTTCAATCTTTTGAAGTTTGTGTGATATGTGGATATCATTGTTCATCTATTCATCCGTCTTTGATTCCATGTCTCTCAAGTTCTTGGCATATTGTAGACAGTCGCTTCACAAGTACTCTATCTTTTTTCTGTAATACTCCGTAAAAAATATCCTATTTATTTATTTGTTTTTTTTGGGGGGGGGAATAAACAAAATGGTTCTTTAACGTAAAACACTTATTTTCCAATAGTGAATTAGCAATTAGTCAATGCAACTTTCCAAGCTCATCATGAGTCATCGGAAAACAGTCGTTCTATGTTCTAAATACGGATTAGATTGCGTGCATCCAACCCCCTTACCCCGCACTAGGGTAATATTGTTTTTATAAGTCCGGTGGTTCACATTATTTCTTAACTACACGATTTCCCCTTTTTAGTGCTATGTCTCGTCAAATGTCAGTCGTTTCTCTGTTTTTAATGATTGTAAATTGTGTTGCACTTCCATATGTACCTCTTCAATCGCTTGCAAATCAATTTACATTAGGTGTTCAAGACATGTGAGGCCTCATTGAAATGAATGCATTGATTTTTCTGCCGTTCTGTGGATAGTCTCTATATGTGGGCACTTGGTATACCTATCTAGAGCATCCGTCCCTAGATGAAAATAAAACTGTTTCAAAAAGAGGAAAATTGTGAACGGAATATATATTCTTTTTCATAATAGGACTGTAATAAAGTCAAATTTTTTTTAAAAAAAAAAAAAAGAAGTGTAAATTTATTTTGAGATGTCTAAAAAAAGAAAACCATTATCTTCATTTTAAAATTGAGAAGCAAAAACTTCCTTTTGGAATGGAGGGATATAAACTAACATAAAGATGGATATCCCTTTTCATCTAATACTATTATTACGCTAATGTACTTGCATTCATTATATTATAACACAGCTTATCTCTTTATATCTTCGCTTTATACAGTTTTTGAAGTTATCAATCTTGAATGCATAGCATATTATAAAGCTTGTGGGAATACTTCAAAATGCAAGTGGATGTGAATCAGTTCCTTAAAAGCTTGCATGATTTGGAAGCCAAATTAGAAACATCAATAGTGTCTGGGAGCACTTGTCGTTAAATTGTTAAATGAACATAAAACCACACATTTATGGTATTGTGTACTTTCAAGGAATGTATACACACTCAATTTAAATGGGCATTGGATTTTATTGTCCTGAAGAAATGCAAAATATAATAGTAATTGTGTAAGTCTGGAAAATGTAGCATGGGGCTCTCCTTTCTTCTGCTCAATAAAGAGTAAACTTTGTTTTCGTTTTCTCGAACACTTGCTCTGCAATAATGGCCCCATTGCCATCAGCTTGCTTTATTTCCAAGTTAGCCTTTTGATAGACGCCGGTACCTCTTAAAGCATCTGCAATAAAATCATCAAATCCAATGGCAATGGCAGCCTCAGCTTTGGCTCCATAAACAAGCCTCTGCAACAGAACACCAATAGTGAATGAGATCAGGAATTGCATAAACATGGCACACTTAGATTTATTTTGTTGAGGGAAAAACAAGACAGCAGGGACTTACCTTAAGTCGTGAAAGATGTATAGCACCAAAGCACATTGGGCATGGCTCACAAGATGCATATATTTCACAGTCTGACAGTTCAATACGGTTCAGCTTTTTACATGCCTGAAATCAGTAAACAGGGGTAACGAAGGAGTTACATAACTGTTCTTGCAGGATCCTTTAGCACTCAAACCAGGCAAGCACTGTTTGATGGACATTTCATTTTTACCAGTATGGACATAAAAGAGTTGACAATTGTTTTCATGCTGGTTTTCGAAGCATATCATACATATACAGGTCAAATTAGCTAGACTGGAAAACTTAGGATAGTGTACCAAGAACATCATCAAAAATGAAAGCACACAAAGCACCATGTCACACTTTGGGAGGGAAGATAAGTTATTGGAAAAAAAAAAGCCTAAGAGGAAAAGCATTACACCTTGTTTTTTTATAACAGAATTCATTCTCTCACTATCTTTTAAAAGTCCACCTATAAATTTGTGATTACCTTGTCTTCTTTTTCCCAAGACAAGGGAATATTTTGAAAGGTGATGTGATAGCAATACTGCTCTCACTACTAAACCAAAACAGAATGGATGACACTTTCCTCTACATATACATATAACCCAGTGAGGTAAATGTTTGCATCCAACGGCATGCACCATAATTTGCACAATCAAGTCTCTTTCCCTAGGAACAGCTTAAAGAAAGAAACTGTGTTGTTCTTTTTCCAAATGGAAATAATGATATGGCCAACGAGTAATTCAACTTCTACCATACAATTTCCGTACTCAATGCTTTAATCCTTGTATGTTTTAATATGACCGTATCTAAACGAGTATTCATGAAAGCAATTCATACAAATCCGTTTTATAATTTCATTTCCTTATGCAGTTTTATGCAAGGTCACTTAAGTTCTAAGATATCTTAAGATGTGGTTAAAATGAAAACGGTACTGTTGTTTTTCCAAATGGAAAAAGAACCATGCTCCAAATGACCTCAATCTCCAATTGAGGCAAAGACCATGAAACCTTAGTAACTGATAGAAAATTCTTCATAATATAACACATTGATCTGGTGGTACCACTCTTTGACTCTACTAGAATGGTGTCCATGACCCCATAATAGACATACTTTTGATATGAATCCGAACTTTTAGAACCATGAGTGCACCATAATCCAGGAATGTCTGGTGTTGAATATTGTATAGTGTATACACTAGCACACAATGAAGAAACCCATAGCAAACAACTAGCGCACCTTGCTTACTTTGCATCCTCGGAGTATATATCTAGCATGTTGTAGTCTTCATAGGATCAAGCAAAAAAGAACTTGAGAGTTTTGTATAAACACCTCACGTGAAAATCCAGATTCCATGGCACCCCAATTTCACCTCATAATGAGCAAGTTTCCGGAAGTTCATCAGTTGGAAGACTAGCACAAGATACAAGCACAATCTGGTAGATGAAGCTAATGGGGTTTGACAAGATACAAGCCCAACGCCTCAACATTTTGATTTTTCCCCCTTTTTTATTTCTTTTCATTTTTTTCCTTTTTCATTTTTTTTCTCTTCTTCCTCTTCCTCCCAGCGACCCTAACCCTGCAGCTCTTCTTCTTTCCTCTGACTGCTCAGCTCCCACGCCACCTCCGTCTCCATGAGTCGCTGCCACCACTGTCTCCATGAGTTGCCGCCACTGTCGTCTCCATGACTTTCCGCAACCGTCATCTCCATGAGTCGCCACCACCACCATCAGGCTAAGCCACCGCCACCGCTGCCAATCCATCACTGCTACGCCAACCGTAGACGGCCATCTGTAGACCTTGAGATTCTTCAACTTTCTAAATTCCTCTTGGTTCACAAGCATGGAGAAGCTTTTGAATGCAATTTCCAGGTGCCGGAGATCCTAGAGACAGTCGGCAAGCAGAGCACTGGCTACGACAGCCATTTTCTGATGGCGACGACACCCTAGTGCACATCAGTGGCGGTGACTCAGCGGCGTGGTAGCTGAGCCAGCGGGGGAAAGAGGAAGAAGAGAGGCAGCGTTGCTGGGAGGAAGAAGAAAAAGAAAAAAAGAAAAAAAAAAAGAAAAGAAAAAGGAAATAAAGAAAAAAGAAAAAAAGGAAAAAAAATAAAAAATGTAGAGTTAGCAGGCCAACTCAGACTCCACGTCAGCCAAATGTCCTGCAAGTGACCTGTAACTGGCTAAATTCTTTTTCTTGAAAGATTTGGTAAACTTCAGGGTTTTTTTTTATAGAAAATGAACTTTAAAAAGGTTTTACTCAAGTCTCTAAGTATACTCTAATGAAAAATGTTCATTTTTACAAGGCCGCTTTAGAAGGGTTTTACTCTAAGTATACTCTAAAGGATTGCCCTTGAGACTAAAGGATTTAAGTAGGAACAAGACTGAATACATGGAATGTCGTTTCAGCAGCCGGGAAACAGAATCAGAAGTGGAAGTTAGGATTGACTCTCACCTAGTACCTAAGGTAGATAGGTTTCGATATCTTGGCTCGGTAATCCAAGCTGATGGGGAGTTAGACGGGGATGTTGGACATCGTGTTGGAGTGGCTTGGGCCAAATGGCAGTTGGCTTCAGGGGTGTTGTGTGACCCGAAGATTTTGCCGAGGATGAAAGGTAAGTTCTACCGATCCGTAGTCAGACCTGCTATGTTATATGAGGCAGAGTGTTGGGTGGTTAAGAAGACTCATGTGCGTCGTGTGCATGCGGCGGAGATGCGGATGTTACGATGGATGTGTGGGAAGACAAGGTTGGATACGATGTCGAACGAAGTCATCCGACGTCGGGTAGGCATGGCGCCGGTGGAAGATAAGTTGCGGGAAGCGAGGTTGAGATGGTTTAGTCATGTGAGACGGCGGGATGATGACGCCCCTGTACGGAGATGCGAGAAGATTACGGTTATCGGGGGAAGTAGGGGAAGGGGTAGACCTAGGAAGAATTGGAAGGAGGTGATTAGGCAAGATTTAGGACTGAGGATATGGCTTTAGCTAGGAACCTTTGGAGAACTAGGATTAGAATAGCTGGATAAGAGCTAGGTGCTACAGAGGTTTTTTTTAGTGTGTTGTGTTTGATTGAAATCTTCTACTATTGCTTGCAGAACTTTCATTTCATTGTACTTGGTGCTTTATCCGTGTTATACTGTGTTCCCTACCATATTTTTTGTGTAGGTTGAGCCGGGGGTCTCTTGGAAACAGCCTCCCTGCTTCCGAGTAGGGGCAAGGTCTGCGTACACACGCCCTCCCCAGACCCTACTGTAGTGGGATTCAACTGGGTTGTTGTTGTTGTACTCTAAGTATACTTTAATGAGAGTGTATGAAGGGTTTTACCCGTCCTTGGGTACGAAAGAAGGGAAAAGATGTATTTACAAGATTGCAAAGGGTCGAGAAAGAAAGATGCGGGATTTGGACCAAGTTAAGTGCATTAAAGATAAGAATGGTGAAGTTTTGATCTCCGATGAAAGCATGAACGACCGGTGGAAGAGCTACATCAACGATCTATTTAATGAGGAGCATGTGAATCTCTCATGCTCTGATCGGCTACACACGAGGGAAGAGGGCCAAAACTTCAATTATTATCGAAGAATTTGAGAAACCAAAGTTAAGGAAGCCCTAAAACGGATGAAGAATAGCTGGCAAAAAACATTATAATTGAAGTTTGGAAAGGTTTAGGAGGAAAAGGCATTTGGTGGCTAAGTAAGCTTTTTAACGAGATTTTAAGATCTTAGAAGATGCCTACCGAATGGAGGAAGAGCATTTTGGATCCTATTTACAAGAATAAGGGAGATATCCAGAGTTGTGGAAACTACACAGGAATCAAGCTTATAAGTCATACGATGAAGTTGTTGGAAAGAGTGGTTGAACGGAGGTTGAGAAAAGAGACTTCGGTGTTAGAGAACCAAGAGAGGTATTGTGAAAAGTGCTAGAGAAAAAAGGAGTAAGGATTGCTTATATTTGTGCGATTAAAGACATGTACGATGGTGCCACAACGAGCATGAGAAACAAACTGGGATGGGAATTCCCCATCGGAAGGCTCAACAAAGGGTGCAAATGTAAACGAGCATGTAAACATGAATAATGGAAGGCTCAACAAAGGGTGCAGATGTAGTACTAGAGGCAATATACTAGGTTTGACACGAAGAAGAGGTTTATTAAAGAACACCCTTACAAAACATGTACACCCAAAGATCTCTAGAGGGACATGAATAAGAGGTTTATCAAGGAAGAGACTATGAAATGGTGTCTGACCACTAAGGACACTAGGAAGGGAGGCAATTAATTAATAGACATGCCATGACAACGACATTTGCCTGAAATGTCTTAGACACTTTTGATTGAAACAAGAGTGCATGTGTAGTTTCGAGCACATGCCCATTTTTACGTTCAACTACCCCATTTGGGCGGAATATCCACACATGAAGATTGGTGAAGGATGCCATCGTCTTACATTTAGGATTACAAGGGAGCAAAAACATATACTCTAGCACAAAAAGAATGAAAATTAGGAAATAACTCAAACAAGATTTCATTAACTATAGCCAAGTCATACGTGAATAGTCATCAACAAAAGTAACAAAGTATCGAAATCTGGATTTGGACGAAACAAAGCAAGGACCCCAAACGGTTTAATCAAGGACTCAAACTAACATGGTGTTTTTTACCCACTGATAGAATTTAGGATGGGTATGGACAACTAGATTGGGTAATAAGATAGTTGGGTTGAACCACATTAAAAATTGAATCCAATCAATTAGTTAGTTCAACTCAAGAGCTTATATAGCGATTATTTTACTCTTGAACTTCCGATGTGGGATGCACTTTAAGACTCCCACTCAAGTGGACAACCGGGCCATTTTAAATCTAATCGGTTGATCACTTGCAAATGAACTCCCATTCTCTTGATTTTTTTTAGCGCCAACACCTAAAGGACCACGAGCCGCTGGGTATGGACTTTCAGACGAGCAATCGTGTTAAACGGGCCACAAGCACATACTCCATACAAACAACTGGGCTAAAGACTAACGGGCCGGTAGGAATGAACGTCTAAACAGACACCTTAACAAACGAGGTGGGCCAAAACCTGCTCCGATACCATGATAGAATTTAGGATTGGTATGGACAACTGGATAGGGTAATAAGATACTTGGGTTGAACCACATTAAAAGATTGAATCCAATTGATTAGTTAGTTCTACTCAAAAGCTTATATATTGATTATTTTACTCTTGAACTTCTGATGTGGGATGCACTTTAACACCCACAAATGAAATGTTATACAATTGAGTTGAGGAATTGGAGAAATAGTTGAGCATCATCCCTCAACCAGAATTTCTTAGTGGTTGCATCCTTAGGAAGGTCATCAATCATATGATCATCCTTGTGTACTTCGGAGATAATTCTATAGTCGTGGCCCATTCAAGATATTTAGAGGAATTACGTTTCCTCTTTGTGATTTTTTACAAGATTGGGAATACTTCACACTAGACTTATCAGTTATCACCCATCTCAATGAACAAAACAAGAAAAATACTGGAGAGAACTTAAACAAACACAGGAAGACGGGACAAAACAATGAGAGAGTGCTTGAAGAAGACGGAACAAAATAACCCACCCAAACTGAGTCCACACAGATCTTAGATGACTCAAGCGACCCTGAATAGTTTCCCATGGCAGATTTGACTAGCAGCAATGGTGTGTGAGAGATGCGCATGGAAGTGGTTGTGAGTGAGGTATCCGATAGGCAATAGATTCTACAGACCTGTTCACCTGCAATGTGCGACTCCACCCAGGGTGGCGATGACACACCATTGCGTCTCTGTGGTAGTAGCCTTTTCTATAATAGTGAACCCTAACCTTAGAAGAGACTGGCTTTGATACCATGTAGTTGATAGTAATCTATATTCAGAGGTTTACTTGATCTACACATAATGACATACAAGAGGTTATATATACATAAGATGGGTGCTGATATGTGGAAACTAAGTCACCCATATTAATGCTTAAATCAAAGCCTACCTTTACTAATATTACGGAATAATATTAGTACTTATATGACTTAATAATGCTTATATGACTTTGAGCACCATATTATTGTTATTTTCATTCCATGTTTACTCAAAACTTTCTTTGTGACATAGCTGTTTATGACTTGTTTTTATATTAAAATGGTTGAGTTATCTCTAATTTTAGCATTAGATGCTATATAGTTTGAGACTTATTTGTCAAACCGCCACAAAGCTTACACCATGCCAATGATATTAAGAAAAAACTCTTATGGCTTAAACATTTCAAAACATCTTTTAGAGCCATTACCTAAATGCTCAGATATTTTATAATTTTAATGAACATGTCAAATGCAAATGAGAATAATCATATAAATATTGTTTTGAACCTAATAATTCAAAATCAGACACAATGGATGAGTACTGTTTTGTAGTAACCATCAAACCCACACTCATGGCTTCTTGAATTGAATTAATATATACAGAGTAGCATACAATTGGAACTTGGTATGTTTTAAATAAACTTGGACTATGGTTACTCTAATTATACAATGGGATAAGAATTAGAATATAGTGTAGGTAATAAATTCAAGGTAAAGACTCAATGAGTTTTGGGATCTAAAGTAGGAAATAAACATGCGTTTTAAAATGTTTATAAGCTCGTTAAGCGGTGAGGGGACAACTGTATGGATGGTGTGTGCAAGCGTGTCGTTGATGCTTTGAGATCAAGCGAATCAATCAACTAGCTTGAAATTTCAATAGTTAATCTGATACTTATGGTAGCACAGGGTGGCTCTACCAGAGGTAGGCTTTGTATCAGTAATTTGTCAGGAGGCTTTGATCAGGACAGTGGTGCTGGATTTTCAGAATTAATAACTGGATAAGAGCAGATTGAGGGAAAAAATGTCAAAGTCCCAGATGCGGCATTGACACTTTGGAGGTGACAAGGTCTCTTCATGTGGATCTGCAGCGATGTGTCGAGGTCTCAACCATGGTTGTTTTAGATCTTTGGAAAGGAAATTGAACATCAGTCAGAACAGAATAGTAGATAAGAATCATAAGATTAGTTCACTGTGATTCCGTGAAAAATGGAGTTTTCTTCAGAACCAAAAAAGGTAAAACATTAAGCCTACAACAGAGTGGCTATGATAGGTTGTAGAAAAAAGGAATAGATTTGTAACACAACCGGACCTGACCTCTGAGTGGGATACACTGTGTATGTTCTGCCTAGTTTGGATTCGCAATGCACTATTACTAATCACTAAAGGAGTTTACAAGACCATGCTTAAATAGATAAAAAATGTAGAAAAGCAGGGCTACAGAACAAATGTGCTAATATGAAACTCGATGCTGCAGAACAATGGGTTAGATATAGTGGCTTACATACTCCCTCTGTCCCATTGTTTTCGTCCACATTGCTTTTTGCACATGAACAAAGGAGGGAGAGCAAAGAGGAAAAAATAGAGCACCGTATTGTTACTTAACTTAATGTTGGGGTGATAAAGAAAGGAGGAATAAAATTGAAAGTAGAGGGGGCCAGGGGGGCAAAAGAGTCAAATAGTGATCTAAAGTAAAGTGGAGTATTACTTTAATACGAAAGTGGACAAATACAATGGGGCTGCCCAAAAACAAAAGGTGGACATATACATTGGGATGGGGGTGCCTTTCAAAACAAAATGCAGACTGAAAACATTACAAAGAAAAGGAAAACAAACCTCTCTTATAGCTGTCACCTCTGCATGAGCAGTAGGGTCAGTATTGTTCAACACCATATTATGGCAACTAACAAGAACTTCGTCATTGCAAACAACAACAGCACCAAATGGACCTCCATGCCCACATTCTACACCTTTATAAGCTTCTTCAACTGCTCTTGTTAAAAATTTATGATCTCTATTCTGTACAGCTGGCAAAGAAAAAATTGTTGATCTCCATCCAAGAGTAAATTAAACAGCTAATACAGAAAAAGTATACTCACTTACCCAGCTTGTTATATCTATTTTCCATTTTAGACCAAAACACACACCAAACAAAGTAACGTTTGACCAATGTACAAATATTTAATTTTTGTAAGACGCAACTATCTAAACCATGGATCATGCTTGTACATTTTGAAAATATTATTGGTTTTATGTTCCTTGCCAATGGAGCTAAAAGAATCATCTTTTGACAATGTTTTAGCTAAAGGAATTCTTTTCTGTCCCTTTAGGCTCTGTTCCGTGAGCCTGATCTGATTCGATCGGATCTAATTGGATCTGATCTCTCAGTGGAGGACATATCTAAGTGAATGTGATTAGATCTAATCTGATTGCTCTAATTGGATATGATCTAATTTGATTAGACCTCATCAGATCTATTCAGTCTGATTTGAATGGATCTTTTCCAATCTGATTGAAATAAAAGTTGAAATTATTATAATAACTTATTATTAATATTATTTCTTATTATTATGAATATTATTACGGAGTATTATAGATTTATGTGTTATAAGAAACAAAAAAATTGAGTAAGATACTGAAGATGTAGAAAAAGAAAATCATTGGCAATAACCAATTATTGGAAAACATGAATACTATGTTACAAAATGATACATTTTGTATATCTCATGTTAATCATGTTAAAAATGTAGATATTGTAATACTTGTGTTAGAAATCATATTAACATAATATTCTATTTATTATTATTACTTAATTGTATATAACATTATAATAATAATTATTAGTAAATTATATGTAACATTAAATAATGTAACACAAATTTATCGTATACTAATTATTACTACATATGTAATAATAGAGAAAAATTAGCAATATTTTTCAACATTTTTTAGGATTTATCTAATTTAGGGCTTGTTCTCTTCACATGATCTGATCGATTTTGATCTAATTGGAATAAGTTCTGATTTGATCTGGTCTCGTCTTATCTGAATGTACTTATATTTTAAGATGTTTATGATCTGATATGAACTGATTCCAATAAGAATAAGTAATAAGTAATAAGAATAACTTGAAAAGAAGAGGCTCTTAATCTAAAAAGATCTTATCTGATCTGATTTGATCTGGTATGATCTTATTAGATCTGATCTAATTTGATTATTACTGATCTGGTATGATTAGTAGTGATCTGGTCTGATTAGGTCAAATTAGATCTGATCTGGTCTGATTTGATTTTAATAAGAATAAGTAATAAGCTAAAAATTTGAGTTGAACGTAACAGACCCTACTCGTCAAAAAAGTAAATATCAATTTCTGGCCTTATTTTTAGCCTTACCACTCATATTCGTATTTTTGGACAATGTTTTAGCTTAAGGTAAATAGATTAACTCAACTAGAGGCCTCTTACTATCTACTATGTATGACGTTTTGGGCAATATATGCAGCGACATATCAAGGGTCTAACATGAACAAATTCGCTAGTTTTTAAGGGACAAGGTTGCAAACATCTTGCCCCTATACTCCAACAGAGTTAAACTGAGTAAATTGTGTTGTTTTTTGTTGGTTTAACAAGTTTATCATGATAATGTGTAACTTGTGTGGGACTGTTTTTTGGTCATCTTTTTAGCAAATTCCATGAAACATTAATATGTTTGATGAAACAGGATCACTTTGTGGGACAATAATAAAAGTTTGGAGCATGACACTTTTATTTGGGATGCAGAATAGATGTTTTTAACAATTTTAGCTAATCATCGGTGGTAAAATGATAAAATAATGGTTACACAACTCATTCATAAATGAAAAATAATGACAACTGACACTAGGGGATCTAGGTTACCTTCTTGGTGGCCTGCAAATGCAGAGGCAACTGATATTGTTCCATCCTTGGCTTCAACAACTGATGACGAGAGAGAGGAGTTAAACTGATTATAATTAGTTCCAAATAAAGAGTGAAACTAATGAAGAAAATATGAAAAGTTCAAAAGATTTTTTATAAAACATCAGTTGTACCCTTTTACTGGGTCAAACATTAAACTCCAAACACAAGCATTTTCAATGACAGAATGATACAGAGTGAAAGTAGTACTCATTCGTCCAGCAATGAAACCCACTCTTTGACTTCACAAAGTTTAAGAAAAAGTAAAAGGAGTGGTAAGAATTTGATTGGGGAACGAAAATGTTATGAGCCACATACTCTTTTTTCTAAAATAAGAAATAAAAGAAGTGTAAAGTTTATTTTGGAATGGATGGAAAAAAAACTGTTTGTTTCATTGCGGGACAGAGGGTCTACTACTTTACCTATCAAAATAACTTATCTTGTACTAAGTTGATTAGGGAAGTGTAGAACATAGATCACACAACATGGAAAATCCATTTCTCTTATGGCCATACATTTTCAACGATCCATGTATAAGGATGTTGCAGGAAAACTAGATCCTATGCAGTTATGTTTTACTATGTATAGTTCAATATGAATAGCACTATGCGAACAACTAACACCACAATACTACTGGAAATTACATTATAAGCAGGTGTTAACATTTGAAACTCAATATTTCATGTCAAAAATCAAACAAAACCTCACTACAAGAAAAGTCAATGTCAAGCTCAATAAAGAAAGTTGATTTTTCATCAATTTTGGCTGGAAAGTGCGACACGTTAAGATGTTCGGGAAAGCAAAACGCATTTCCACAACTAGAGATGAGTGTGAAGAAACCTAAGAGCATTTCCAGAAACAAAAAAAAGGAAATAATCCCAACTCACGGAATGGGCGATTTGAGAAAGAGAGGAAGTTGGGCATTTCATAAAGTAAAGAAATCATCAAAAATTAAACGAAAGAATACACAATAAAGCCTCACAAATAAACCTTACCATTGGATGATTCTTCCATTGATGAACGAAGTTTCTCAGATGTGAGATGGGGAAGAATTTATGGAAAAGGGTAGAAAAAGGTTGGAATTTATGAGAATCTAACAAGATTCGCTTGAGGCCCGTCCGTTCTACTTGCGTAAAATAGGAAATGACAGAACCACTTCCAACCAAGAAACAAAACGTCACTGTTTATTACCGTTACTTCAAAAATTAAACGAAAATATTAAAATTAACGACCAGCCGTTAGGTTGCCTTCGAAGCGTCACGATGATTTTCGGAAAGGCCAAACGGCGTCATTTGAAGCGCCAACCCCTCCTTAATCCCCCGACCAGTCTAGCTTCGGAAACGATACGCCTTCATCAATCGAAACTCTTCTGCTCTTCGTTCTCCATTGCATACCGCCGTCGGATACCTTCAAGAACTACCACACATCTGTTTGCCATGGAGAATATCGGAGCAAGTAGCGGGTTCCAGTACAAGAGAAGAAGAATTCTAACCCAAACACGAAGGGAGGAGATGGAGAATGAAATCCAGGTATTTTCAAATAATTGTCACTTAAAATTAACTAATTTTGGTTTTATTTTGAAATATTTGGGATTGGTGTCAGATTTCTGCTGAGGTAACTCCATCTGTGGAGGGTCAATCGTTCCTAGATGCTTCGGAAATTGAGGTGCATTGCATGTACACTAAAATATAACATTTAAAGTTTATTTTGTTTGTTTTTGAAACATTCGGAAACAGAACAAGTTATTCGACCATGGAAATAATCAATATAATGTTACAGTAATTGGTTACAGTCGAATGCAGTCGAATCTATTTTTTGATTAGTTCTTGATTTTAATTCTAGGTTCCAGCGTTGGATTGCACCATTGATATTGATAAAATACCTGGAATGAAGTTAACCCTGAAATCTTCTTTGGGGGAGTTCCAGAATCTGATGGGCGAAGGACTTGGAGATCATCCAGAAGTCCTTGATTTGTTTAGGGAGAACACCCCTATTTCTCATTTTTTGGATGTTGAGTGTATTCCTCCTCCTCAGTTCCTATGGCAACTCATTGCGTGGGAAGCCAAAATAAAGAGGAAAGGAGAGATGTGGTTCGTTGTCAAAGGACTTCCTGTCAGGTACTCCTTGAGGGAGTTTTCACTCATTAGCGGCCTCAACTGCTCTCACCTTAACGCCGGCTTTGAAAATTCTAAGGAATTAACCTCTGCAAAGAATGATTTCATTCGAGCTCACTTTCCTTCTGCAAAGAAGGGAAAGAAATCTGCTGCAGTCACATACAAGATGGTTGTGCAGCGTTTCTTCAACATTTGTAAAGGATTGGACATAGAAAAGAAGAAAGAAGGCCAGGAGATGGATGCTGTGAAAATGGCAACACTATTGTTTGTTGTTGTTGTTCTCTTGGGTCCTGCTGATCGAGACAAGTCTGCAATTCCAGATTGGATTCTGGGCATGATTGCACAGTGGACAGCAGTTCTAGGTTGCCCATGGGGAACCTGGGCATTTATGGAGTCCTTGGGGTCACTGAGGAAAGACCTAGCTGCTAAGGCCAAATCAATTGGAAGAGGGGCCTCATCAACCATGTACTATACTAGTTTCTTGCTTCCCATTGGGGTAAGGATTTTTTCAATTATAAATTTCTTATAATTTTTATTGAAATGTGATCTCATTGAAACTTTCAATATGAAAAGATCCTTTTTTCTGGAGAGTTGCTTGGGGACTGGAACAAATATTACAACAAGAAGCTCACAGACATCCCCAGCTAGGCCAAGAATGTGCCTTTGGGGTGAGATTCCAATAAAGAAGAAAATCACCCACACAAAAATGGATGCTTACGTTGGGGACATGTAGGTATATACATATTATTGGTCAATAAAAGATTAAAAATTTAAGGAATTCCAAAAATAAAGTGTCATTGTTTTGGTTGCAGACTCTACAGAGCATTCTTGTTCCCGACAAGTTTGAGGCAACTGCAGAGTGGTATTTGAACTTCCATCCTCTAGAGACCACAACACACCCTGAGTTGGATGCATTTGTGGCAAAATTAGAGGGTAGAGGGGAAGTCCACATTCTAGTGGAGAGGAAGAGAAAAGCCTGGAATGTCCCTTCACCAACAAGAGATAATTCTGAAGAGCGTAATGAGCACATCTCCTCTCCCCAAGAATCTCAGAGGAGTCAGAGCCTTAGGGAATCTCCTTCTAGAGTCTTCCATTCCAAAATCCCAAATCCATCGTCTCCTACCCCTCACCCCACCAAGCCTTCATCCAATTCCTTTCAAGAACTCTTTGATCGAATGTCAAAGAAAATTGATAACATTGCATAAGAACAAAGAAAGAGGTTTGAAGTGCTTGAAAAAAAATTGATGCTTTGTCAACTTTAATAAATCAAAAGATTGTGAATAAGGTATGATGAAGGTTTTGAAAGTCATCCAATAATTTTAATTGATCACAACTGATCTATTCTTATGTAAAAATATGAAGGTGAATGTAACTGAATCGGGAGATGAACCAACCAAGAATCCGCTGGAGGTACGTCGAATACCGTCGAATACATACGAAGCAATCGAATGTATACGAAATGTTCGAATTTCTCGAATGCAGTCGAAACGTTTTGTTCAGTTTTAAATCTGTAAGATCTGTTAACGTTCAGGTGCCAGAGACGACAATCATGGATGATTGTGAAGAGACGGAGGCACGCAATCCTTCCCCTGATCATAAGGTTTAGGGTTGAATGGAGTCATTTCATTTTGTTTGCATATGTTAAATGAAATCATAAAATCATTTCGTACTTCTTTCTCATCATTTTCATACTTCATACTCTATAGGTTTCTCCAAGACTTGGTATTCTCCAAATTATTGGGGAAATAAATCAAGAGCATAAGAATCCACCTTCAACTCTTTCTGATTCTGTTCTTAGTTTGGAGAACAGAATGGTAAAATTCTAATCTTAACTTACAATGCATTGTCCTTTCGAAAATAGATTCATATTTTTGTTCTTGTCTGCAGGCTGAGTCTACCCACGAGACAATGGGAACAGAAGATGCTGCCTTAATGAAGCCTCTGCAGGAAATGGTAAAAATTATAAATCTTACTACAAGTGCCTTCGAATTAGAGTCAAAGTTTTCAAATGTATTCGAATTATCTATAGGTTGAGTCTAGCCATGAGGTAATGGAAACAGACGTTGCTGCTTCTATGAAACCTCTGCAGGAAGAGGTAAAAATCTAAATTTCATGCATTCGAAATGCAGTCAATATCTTCGAAATAGTAAGAACAAGTTTATTTCCACTCTATTTAATGTAGGTCGTTCAGGAGGAATTGGGAGACGAGGCTAATATTAATGATGCCCATGTGCATGGAAAGGTTTAGTATCTTAGTACAAGTGCTTTCGAATTTGGGTCGAAGATTTTGAAATAATTCAAATTCTCTGTAGGTTGAGCCTAGCAATGACGTCATGGAAACAGACGTTGCTGCTTCTATGAAAACTCTACAGGACAAGGTAAATTCTGGATGCTTTACATTCGAAATGCAGTCAATATCTTCGAAGTATTTAGAACATGTTTATTTACACTCTATTTAACTGTAGGTTGTTTCTCCCCAGAAGGAATTGAGGGACGATGCTGAAATTACTGATGCTATTGTTTATGGAAAGGTTTGGTTTCTTACTTCAAGTGCTTTCGAATTGGAGTCGAAGATTTCAAAATAATTCACTTATTTTTTTATTTTAGAGATTGAAAAAGAATTCAGCCAGTTTGAAGTCTCCATATACAGCGGACGGGAGGAAGAAAAAGAAAGCCGATGAGCTCTTATCTAAGCCGCCAACTAAAGGAGATCTTTTGGAATTTAAGAGCTTCATCGTACAAGCAATTAAAGAGGACCGCCTTGTACAATGCTACCTAGAGCAGTACAAGGAGCATCAGGAATTTGTTAAAACCTGGTGGACTGACCTTATCACTCCAAATCTTTGGGTAGCGGATACTGTAAGTTGCATTAACCTCGTGGACTGACCTTATCACTCCAGATCTTTGGGTAGCGGATACTGTAAGTTGCATTAACCTTTCATTCTTCGTACACAAACAATGCTTATATCTTTCGTTTTCTAATAACATACTACTTTTGTTTGTTAACTAGCATCTGAGTGAGTACCTTTACGTCCTGAGAAGACGTTTATGCAATGACGATGGAGACTCTGTCATTGCGCCTTTTGAATTCACAACGTACGTGAACTCTTATGCGCATGACCCACAATGGCCTGTTTTGTCTGGACCCGTTGAAAAGATTGTGGATGGTACATACAGCGAGGGGCAGGAAGCATTTAAAACCAAAGCCTGGAAAAAGAACACTAAGTACGTATATTATTTGAAAGGCATGGGTACACATTGGTTCTGTATCAAGGCTGACTTTGAGAGGTGCCGCCTCGTCGTGCTCGACTCCCTTTCAAGGATAACTTCGAATGAGGACATGGCTTGTTTGCTGATAGATGAACTTAGAGGGTTTAAAGGCATTGCTGGAATTATAGAAATCGGCAAGCACGGATATGCCAATTGGGAATTCGAATTATGCTGGGTACCCCAACAGAATGCGTGTGACTGCGGCATCTTCACGGTAAAAATGTTAGAGTTGGGAGCACAACATCAGGATTTTAAATCTTTGGAGAAGATGACAAAAGAAAAGATGGCCAACATGCGTTTAGAAATCGCTTACTGCATATGCAAGGAGTACCATTGTAGAAACAAAAAATAAATTCTGTGGTGGATAAATATATTATTAATAAAATTATGGTGGATACATATGATTTCATGGAATAGAATATATTATTACATATATTATTAACAGTATTATTAATTATGTGGTGGATACACGTGATTTCATGGAATTGCATGGAGTTGCATGTAAACACGAGTAACTAATATTATGGGATTACATTCTAAAACTTGTTCATATAAAATTACATAAAAATCAATAATTCCATGAAATTAGCTCGGATCGATCTTTGAGTCATTTCTTTTTCATCTCTTCAATATTTCGGTCTCTACACAAGTTGCTGCCCCTGCTAGCATTCCCCTAGATCTGGAGATTGGGTTTGGCTTGCATTTGTAATGTCCGTTTGTTCGATCAGACAACACCATGCCTCTGCACTAACACGCATGCACATTTCGTCATCATGTGCTGCAGTAGAGGGATGCGTTATCTGATCGAAAAAACCATTACGACCGTATTATCTGATCGAAAAAACCATTAGGACAGTTAGAGAAAAGCAACGTACTTGAAATATCCATTTCTATCAATCAATGAAAGAAAGGTAAGAAATTCTGATGTGGGTAAAGAAACAGGATTGTAAGATATGGAATACATTAATGAAGAATGCTAAGTGTGTAGATAATGAAAACAGGGTAAGTGAGATAGGAGGGATATATGAATTTAAAGAGGAGGGGTAAGTGGAGTACTTATAAAGGTGATTGAATATGAATGCATTTCGAACTGAATTTATTTCGAGTAGCTAAAGCGGTCAAATCAGCTTTTATTACTCTCGTTGATTTCTAAGAGTTCAGTAGGTTAAATGAGATTTAATTTCGGTCATTAATTTTAAAACTTAAATAATAATGTTATAATAATAATAATAATAATAATAATAATAATAATAATAATGGAGAGGGTCGTTGAATTAAATAACTTTTCTAAAAAAAATTACGCTTCGACTATCTCGACTAATATTTGAATGCATTTCGAATTAATTATAATTAATAATAATAATAATTAATAATAATTATTATAATAATAATGCGGGCCGTTGAGATAAATAAATTTCCTAAAAGATCTAAACTTCGACTGTGCCGACTAATATTTGAATACATTTCGAACTGAATTTAATTCGGGTAGCTGAAGCGGTCAAATCAGCTTTTATTACTCTCGTTGATTTCTAAGAGTTCAGTGGGTTAAATGAGATTTAATTTCGGTCATTAATTTTAAAACTTAAATAATAATGTTATAATAATAATAATAATAATGATAATGATAATAATAATAATAATAATAATAATAATAATAATAATAATAATAATAATAATAATAATAATGGAGAGGGTCGTTGAATTAAATAACTATTCTAAAAAAAATTGCGCTTCGACTGTCTCGACTAATATTTGAATGCATTTCGAACTGAATTTAATTCGGGTAGCTGAAGCAGTCAAATCAGCTTTTATTACTCTCGTTGATTTCTAAGAGTTCAGTAGGTTAAATGAGATTTAATTTCGGTCATTAATTTTAAAACTTAAATAATAATGTTATAATAATAATGATAATAATAATAATAATAATAATAATAATAATAATAATAATAATAATAATAATAGAGAGGGCCGTTGAGAATGAGATAAACAAATATTCAAAATGAATAATCTTCGACATTATTGTTAGACGCCTCGCACACCTCTAGAGGGGGGGTGAATAGAGGTGTTGCCCAAAAGACCAGTTTTTTGCGCGGAAACGTTCTTCACGAATATTCAATAAAAACAATGCACCACAAACAAAATAAAGTGAAGGATAAGAGCAATGCACACAAGATATATACTGGTTCGGCCTAAATGCCTACATCCAGTCCCCGAAGCAATCGTGCCCAGGCCTTCACTAACCCGTCAAACTTAACGGAGTTTGACAATTCGAATACAACTCGAGAACTTGATTTCACAAGCCTCTTATCTTACCACCGAAGTTTTGATTTCACAAAACTCAGGATTTCTTCCACCTAACGTTTGATTTCACAAACCGTTAGGATTTCTACCACTTGGTGTAATCCCAACACCAAGAATACAAATCCCTTACAATAAAGCAAGAAAACAAACCGCAACCGAGTAATTCTCCCAACACGGAGTAGATTGTTGCAAATACAATGAAATCCTTTAGAATATGACAATATCTCTCAAAGACTCAAGCAATGAGGAAAAACTCAAGCAAGAAATGATTTAGCAATCAAAACAATTGCCTTGCTTGGATATAAGGAGGGGATTGAGTAGAATCTCTTTGGATATTCAAAGGATATGTTCTTCAAAGTGTTCTAAGTGCTCTTTTGAAGATAATCTCGAAAGTAGATAGTTTATAGAAGTTAGGGAGTGGATAGGGATGAAAAGCATTCAAAAAACTAGCCGTTTGGTAGTTGAAACTGTCGACTTATTCGAATAATTAAAGAACTATTCGAAAAGTTTGGATCAATCGCGTGGATTGAAAAACCAGTTCCTATTCGAATAAATGGAGATTTATTCGAATAAATCAGGGTGAAAAGCCAGGACTTATTCGAATAAATGGTGATTTATTCGAATAAAACAGGTTAATTTCAGTCTTAGAAAAGATCACGACTTATTCGAATAAACTAAAGATTATTCAAATAGAAAGGCAACTTCCCCACACAAAGGCTGATCTAAAATAAGTTTTAAAAGTAAGATGATAAGGGAATGAACCTTAGAGATGCCATACTCTTTAACACATAATCTAAGACCTAAAACACAACCCAACTAAGGAAACAACCTCTTCGGTCTCGTTCCTTCCACCGATGCTCAAGTCCCTTCTTCACGGACGAATATGAACTTGTTGTAGCTTTGATTCTTAGCCTTGATGCACAATATGATGATGATGTTTTGTCACCCTTTTGTCATTATCAAAACCTAAAAGACAATGGGCAAAGGACATTGCAAAAATATATATTCATGATAGCACATTGTCCAACAATTTCCCCCTTTTTGATAATGACAAACCCATTAGGAGATATGCATCATACAAGGCTAGTTACCCCTCAAGTATAGCATTATAAATCAAACAAAGACATACAAATCTATACTATCTTCCCCATTAAGATATGCACAAATACAATTCCCCCTGAATATATGCATATCTACACCATCTTCCCCCTTTTGACATTATCAAAAAGAGATTGGCAAAAAGATATATACTCATGCAAATAGATATCAAACAAACAAACAATATCACATTGTCCAACTAAAATATAAATCAACATTAGTTGGAATTAATAAAGTGAATCAACTTCCCCCTTAATTGATGCTTCACCCAATTATGTGCTTGGCGCATCTACTTCAAGAGTTCAGCTTCACAAGTTCGTGTGGAAGGAATTACTTAGATGCTTCGTTTAGAACCATGGGTTACGGAAAACCCAGGTCCCCTGTTATGGCAATAATAAAAATCATATGAACGATGCATCACATTATCTTGACTTAGAAGCAAGTGCCTATACTTAGTGTAACAAACTGGTGTGATGTGTCCTACTTTATTACAATAAGGACACCTAACACTAGGGTTGTTCATGTTTCTAGGACGTATGATGTGCTTTCTAGGTTGTCTATCAAACTTAGAATTCCTAGAATGACTTAGTTTATTTCTAGGTGATCTATAGTATTTAATCCTAGAGGTAGATTTTAGTCTAAATTCATTTTCAACTTTCTTCATTGTTAATTTCAAATCGTCTACCTCTTTCTTAAGCACTTCTATCTCAAGACTAGAAGACTTACATGAAGAACAAGATGAATCATTTAATTTCAAATTAGTTTCATCAAAAGTCTTATTTTCAATTTTGAGGGAATCAATTTCTTTTTGCAAAGTATTATTTTTCTTTTGCAAAAGGGTGATTTTATATTCCAAATCTTTGGCAATAGATGAGACTTTCTTAAATTCTTTAAATAAATCACCAAATGCTTCTTGTAGTTCTTCAAAACTAAAAGGATCGTTAAAAGAACTTACCTCTTCGGATTCACTTTGAGCCATAAGACAATGGCTACTTCATCATCGGATGAGGAAGAGGAGCTAGAGTTGGATTGCTTTCGGCGTTTGGACTTCTTGAATTTTCGATTAGGGCAATGACCCTTGATATGTCCACGCTCTCCACATCCATAGCAAGTAGGCTTTGTACTCTCATTCAATTGCTCAAGCTCATTTTGCAAGAAGTCATTAAATAACTCGAGAATGTCACTTTCCCTAGAGCCGCTTGTCTCGACATATTTTGACGATGAAGCTTTGAGTGCAACTCCTTTGAATGATAGATTTTGTTCCCTTTTGATCTCCGCTGCACTAGAAAAGTTAGACATTTCATAAGTGAGTAGTTTACCTCGAAGTGCGTCATATGTCAATGTATTGTAATCTCAGCCTTCTTTGATAGGATTGACCGTAGACTTCCATTCCGGTGTGAGACTTCGAAGGATTTTTCGAACGAGAACATGATCCTCATAATGCTTCCCAAGTGTATCCAAATTTGAGATGATAGTTGAAAATCTCTCGAACATGCCATCTATTGTTTCATTTTCCATCATCATGAAAAGCTCATACTCATGGGTGAACAAGTCGATCTTTGAGTCCTTCACTTGACTTGTTCCTTCATAAGTGACCTCTAATTTGTTCCACATCTCATTGGCTGTCTTGCACCTTGAGATTTTCCGATAGTCATCCGGGTTCACGGCACAATATAGAAAGTTGATGGCCCTTGCATTTAGTTGCATCTTCTTCTTGTCATTTGAGGTATATTCGATCTCTAACTTTGGAACAAGAATCCCGTCAACAATCTTCGTGGGAACCGTCTCTCCATGCTTGATCACCAGCCAAGAATCATAATCATTTGATTGGATGAATATTCTCATCCTCTCTTTCCAATAAGCATAATTTTTGCCGTCGAAGAGTGGTGGCCTTGTCGTGGATTGTCCTTCGGCAACTCCGGGTTGAAATGTTCTTCCGGCCATGATCTTTTTAAATTTTCAGCGGTAAATCTTTGAAAATCCCTCGCTCTGATACCACTTGTTAGACGCCTCGCACAGCTCTAGAGGGGGGGGGTGAATAGAGGTGTTGCCCAAAAGACCAGTTTTTTGCGCGGAAACGTTATTCACGAATATTCAATAAAAACAATGCACCACAAACAAAATAAAGTGAAGGATAAGAGCAATGCACACACGATATATACTGGTTCGGCCTAAATGCCTACATCTAGTCCCCGAAGCAATCGTGCCCAGACCTTCACTAACCCGTCAAACTTAACGGAGTTTGACAATCCGAATACAACTCGAGAACTTGATTTCACAAGCCTCTTATCTTACCACCGAAGTTCCTTCCACCGATGCTCAAGTCCCTTCTTCACGGACGAATATGAACTTGTTGTAGCTTTGATTCTTAGCCTTGATGCACAATATGATGATGATGTTTTGTCACCCTTTTGTCATTATCAAAACCTAAAAGACAATGGGCAAAGGACATTGCAAAAATATATATTCATGATAGCACATTGTCCAACAATTATTACGACTAATATTTGAAGGGACTGTATTACCTTTATTACATGGATCACATGATTGCATGTAGTGGATGTAGTTGCATGTAAACACGAGTAACTAATATTACGGGATTACATTCTAAAACTTGTTCATATAAAATTACATAAAAATCAATAATTCCATGAAACTAGCCCGGAGCGATCTTTGAGTAATTTCTTTTTTATCTCTTCAATTCCTGGAGATTGGGTTTGGCTTGCATTTATAATGTCCGTTTATTCGATCAGACAACACCATTACTCTTCGTTTGAATCAATGTTGCAGAGTAGTAAAGATGGGTTCTACCAGAATCCCAATCATCATGTGATTGCATGGAATTGCATGGAGTTGCATGTAAACACAAGAAAAACCATGCCAATTGCTTCCCTAGAATAGAACTTTTCTTGCAGTGGAGTGGAGCATGGTTGATTCCGTGTTGTTTCCTTGTGGAAAACACGAGAATAACCACACAAATTGCTTCCCTACATGAGATAAACCAAAAGATGCCGTGGAACATCTTCTGCAGTAATGGATAAAACGAATAATGGTATACGAGATAACCATTATGACCGTTTTGCCTTATCGAGATAACCATTAGAACCGTTTTACAAAATCGAGTAAAACCATTACAAACAACGTATATGAATGATCCATACCTATCAATCAATGAAAGAAAGGTGAGAAGTTTTGATGATTGTAAAGAAATAGGCTTGTAAAATATGGAATACATTAAAGAAAGTGTTTATAATCTGGAGAGGATGCAATGTATTTATAGGGAGGGGACGTATTTGAATGTTTGAAGGAATTTTTATTTGACTAATATTCGATCTAAAATTAGAAAAATTGAGGAATAAAATTGAGGAATTAAATTTGGAATTTCGATCATTTCGACCACATTTGAAATGTATTCGAATGCATGTTATAAATTAAGAGATTACACGATAGAACTTTTTTAAAGAGTGGAATAAGAACATTAGAATGCGATCAGTCATCTTTAAAAATTTTCTTTAATTTTTAAGACGTAGGATTTGACTTGTTAACTTAAAATTCGACCATCTCGAGGAATATTTGACCACATTTCGGATGTGACTTTAACACCCTAAAAAAGAATTCTTGTTTTATAAATTACGTTACTTTCAATAATAACGTAAAAAATTCTGTTGTTGGTGAAGGGAATCTCTCCAAACAATAAAACTTCTAAATTTTAATATAAAAAGTTGTTATTAGAAAATACATAAAATCAAACTTCAAATACGCATAAAAATACCCTTATACGTATTTCAGGATATGGATGAGAAAATCACAACCACCAAGATGATAAAAAAACAGGACATGACTCTCATTGAGGCCGTGATTCTCAACAAACGCTGGCCATGATTCCTTGAAGAACATATTGCCATGGGTGCATGCTTGAATCTTTACTTTAAAAGTGTGTGGCGCTAGTTTGGAATGGAGAGTCACAACTGTTATCTGGGAAACAAGATTGAACATGTCGGGGTAGCGCCTACAACAGATCCAAAGAATTTGTGAGTTATAATATATAACCTTAAAAAAATCAAGAAAATATAATGAAAAATATATGAACAAACCAGTCGCTCTTTGAACTTGGGATCTTGCCCGAGGATTACTGTACAATCGAACATAATGATCTTTTTTATTTTCGCAGGCAATACGGAATAGAAGAACGAGAAAACCCTAAAGCTAGTTGCGTATTTATATAGACCGAGCAAGGCGGAAAGGCGCCCGACGAAAATGGTAATAGATAGGAATTTTTAGAAGAGTCCCGCCATTTCATGAATAGGCGGGACGGAAAAATTTAGTCCGCCATTTCATGAAGGGACGGGAAAATGTAGTCTGCCATTTCATGAAAAGGCGAGACGGGAAAATTTAGTCCCCCATTTCATGAATGAGGAGTATTATAAATAATGAGGAGTATTATAAATAAAAATAGTAAAAATCTAGCGATAGTCGTACCTGTTGGTGTTAACAATTAAGTTCGGACTGTTCTAGATGTAACAATCCGGTTAAGAGTTTAACTGGATATATATGACCGATCCCCTATGTATAGGAGATAGTTAGACGTACTTACTTTGGTAACATTAATTAACTATCCTTTTACTGTTCACTATTTCAATTTTTTTACGTGAGAGTATCAATCAAACAGACCGTAACAAAACTTTTCTTTCACTCTCCTAAATTTCTTATACGAACAAACCTTCTTTCTTATAAAGGGATGTTGAGTTACAAATTGTTAAGTAAATGTGAGTTATGTCCTTATGGTCTTACAACTTACAAGATGAATCGACTTTTCTTTCACCCAAACAATTTATAGATCTACCCATTTCCACTTATTTTCCTACTCTAATTATACTTGCACTTTTGACTTCTCTATTTTCTACTTTACCCAGACAGAGAATTAGCATTGATTAACAAACCTCCATTCCCTCTTCTACATGGACTGCAGTTTCAAGTGAGGAAGATGACTCAATTGACAATACACCATCCGGACCAACTTTATCAATAGCATCCGCAATCATGGTGCCAATGACCTCATCATTTCCAGCAGAGATTGAAGCAATGGCTAGACGAAGGAAAAACGTATTAGTTTAACCAGCTAATATCACCAGATATTAAAGCATAACAACTACAGAGTATATTACCTTTAATATCATCTCGACCCTTTACTGGCCGGGCTTTATTCTCAAGCTCTTCCACCAACCCATGTGCAGTTTTCTGAATGCCCTTCTTTATGGATACAGGGTTTGCACCAGATGTAACACTCAACAGACCAAGTTTGATCATTTCGCGAGCAATCACAGATGCAGTTGCTGTCCCATCACCAGCAGAATCATTGGTTTTGCTTGCTACCTAAATAAGACTTCAGATATTAGACAAATGAGAGCATATAAAAAATTATGCCAGCAATACAAGTGAACAGCTGAAGTTGATACAATATCTTCGAGACATTGAAAAATGGTTCCTCAATCATGTTTTCTGATTTTATGTTTAGCAGAAACTATTTTCGTTGAAAGAACTTCTTGTGTTTTATATTTTATTCTTTACCCTTTTATGTTCGAAATGTGGAAGTTATATTCATGCAACATTTTAATGTTTTCAATTATTCTGGGTGAAACACATTGTTCCAAAAAACACTTTCCGTTTGCTTAGAAAACAGTTTCATCAACATATTACTCAGTATTTGGCTTCCTAGAAACAAGCATAGTGTAATCTATAACCAAAAATGAAACCAAATCTAGGGAAGAAATGTGGCAACCTCTCTAATGAGTGCAGCACCGGCATTTTCCATAGCATCAGCAAGCTCAATAGCTTGGGCAATTGTAACCCCATCATTGACAACTTTTGGAGTTCCATATTCATCAAGCACAACATTCCTCCCTGTAGAGGAAATAAAAAACAAAAGAAATGTTTTACAAGTCATGTTTTCCTCAGCACCTTTACCATTTACAGTTTTTAAATCATAAATGTTTAGAAAACCTCTACATTAACCCACAACTTATTATCATACACAACAATCTTCCTTCCATTTCTTACATATCACAAGTTAAAACTATGAAACCACAATTATCCCCATTTGCACAATTATTTTATACAATACTGCAAGATAACAAGTGAGAATAACACTACAACATTTTTGTCCTTGGTAAAAAAAGGGCAGCTGGCACTTACCCCTTGGTCCAAGAGTGAGGCCAAGCTTATCGATCCCAGCCCGGTTGCGCAGAGACTGTGGCGGGTGCTGGGAGTCAAGGTTGTCAATAACCATGGCCTTTGTTTTGATTCGCTACTGCACTGGGCAGATTTCAACTTTTGCAGTAGGGTCGGAAGGGAAATGGACTGCGTGGCGGCGGGGATCTGGGCACTGTGGAAGGCGAGGAACATGGCCAATTGGGAGAGTAAGCTTCCGACAGCGGGTATCATCGAGGCTTGGACCAGGTTGGCCTCAACGCCATCAAACTGTTCGGGGTTGAAGGCACCTATGGCGGAGTCTAGAATCAGCGGCATTACGTGCTCGGTGGATGCAGCTGTGTTCGAGAATGTTCGGCGGGTGGGAGTCGGTGCAATCCTTAGAGGTGAAGATAACTCTTTTATTGGAGCTTTCAACTCTTGCATTACGTGTCCTTTAGAGCCACGAATTGCGGAAACCATGGCGATTAAAGAGGCTGTCTTGGATTGAAGACCATGGCTTCTCGGAGGTTAGTGTTTTGTCTGATTGTGCTCTGTTGATTAAAGCACTCAATAATCCATCGAGTAGAAACATCTCGTATTTGGGTGCCGTTGAGGATGAATGTAGATCTTTCGCTAGCTCTTTTATTTCTTTGAGGTTTTTTTACATTCCTAGAACCTCAAATTGTATTGCTCATTCTCTTGCTAGAGAGGCGGGGGAGAGGACTAATGAGTGGTTGAATTCTCCCCCCTGACTTTGTTTCTCATTTGATTTGATGAATGAAAGTGTTTTTTACTTCAAAAAAAAATAGCAGGATATAAAATTTTATTACTCCCTCCGTCCCACTCTTTCTGTCCACTTTCATTTTTGCACACCATCCAATGCACTTCTTTAATCCATTTTATCTTGTAATTTGTATAATAAAAAATTATAAAAATTATATATTAATAATCTATATGTTAAGACAAATCAAACAAGATCACACATGACTATTTTTAGACTTACACATTGAGAGAATTTGATGAGTCAAAGTGCTTAGATGAACAGTTCCAAAAGTCAAAACTGGACAAAAAGAGTGGGACGGAGGTAGTATACAAAATCAATTGACCAATAAAAATTACATATTCTTAATTTAATTTTTTATCTTTTTGCAGGGTGTTCCATCAAAAGAGATTAGGCAATACTGCAAATATTGCTTTTTTTAGATACGTACATACCCACACTGCCAGCAAATTTTGAAAAAAAATGCGGAAATTAACAAAATCAACAACGCTTATCGGAACCAAGTGCATGAACCAAATGTGCATGAATCCAAATGCAGGTATATGTATTATTTCAATCTTTCTATGCATGCACTATCAGTATTTGTTATGTGTTGATTTATCTTATAGATTTCATATATATTTCTAAGTGGGTTAATTTTTGTTAGAAAATCAAATAACAATTCTAATAAGATTTTTCTAAAAGATATAATAACTTTCAATACCATATTTTGATGCTCCATTAACAAAATAGATTATAAGAACCATTTGGTGAAACGAAATAACCTATACCTGAATGCATACGACAACACTCTTAAGGATAAATAACTGATCCCTGACAATATTGGGGCAAAAAAATGCCATACCTGGATGCATACGATACCTGAACATATTATAGAGAAAACAAACTGAATTAAAATCCTTGGGACAAATAATTGATTCCTTCAAAGCACTTTTGCCCAGACTTTCTTATACTATTGTCGGGAACCTATTCAATATTTAGTTTAGAAAACTGAATAAGTTAGATTTACGTTTAAGAAATTGATTAACTAAGACTTACGTAGGATCCCTCTTAATTACTTCGTTTAGAAAACTGAATAGTTTAGACTTATGTATACTAAGGTAGATTTAGAACAAGGTGTTTTAACGATAATCATTACAAAAAAATACTGTAAGACTGAAACTATTTGATATAGAAGAAATATTTATTAGAGATATCTCATTGTGAAGGTTGTGGAAGATTTTTCAAAATTTTCTTGGAAAAATATTACTCCCCCCAAACCAAACACATCACTAATTCATGTTACTGTAATACTATGCCTGTATTTCTATGTGATACATCACATTGAAGCTATTACTCTTTAATTATCCTCTGTCGTTATATATGAGAAGATATAAGTGAAGTAAGTCAACATCGATGTCTGGGAATCAAGTGAAGATAATAGAGTTGGATGAAGGGATAGAATTTATTCAAAAGAATATTTAAAGCTTAAGAGTATCCTGGAAGAGGAAGCTGAGTCTTTTAGCTCTGATGAAGATATTTTTCTTTAAATGTTTCAGTGAAAAAGTGATTTTGACATACATCTCAAACTGAATACAAAGACTTACAAAATTAACTTAGTTTGAAACTGTATTGTCAAACTGTATCATCAAAAAAAATAATGAAATCATCTTTGTTCGAAAACAGAGACATTAAAATCTGTTGAACACAAAATATAAGATTCTTCGTCTTAGCTTTATTCAACAAAAGTACAATATCTTATGGTAGTTCTAATTACATTAGTAAATCGTATATGGGGCTAATATAATAACACACCAATCAACAGATCCAAACAAGATTCACAACCTTTCACATGGATATCAATGGTAATTAATTTGAATTTTGACAGTATATGAAACAAGCTTACCTTGGTAGAGTTTTAAAAAAATTCCTTGAAATATGTCTCCTTCAAGGATGAACAAATATACATCATTGCGCCTGCCAAATCAAATAAAATCAACAGAGAATATACTATTGAAATTTTAATATAAATCTATTAAAATAATACTCACCTGTGTTTTAAAAGGTGAAACAAAACATAAACCCCCAATTTTGTTAGGACTATCTTCCCTTCTCTGCCATAATCTATGTTCCGAAAATAGCCATGGAGAAGAGAAAAAAGGGTAAAGAGAGTCAGGAACCTGTTACAATGGCAATATCTTGAAGAAGTGCCTTTCTCCTTTCACCAAAACCTGGTGCTTTAATTGCAGCAACATTCAAGAACAGGTAGAGTACGAGTAAATCTCAAGAATCGGGAAAATAAAACAGGAAAAGAAATGAATGAGCTCAAAATGCGGAGATCGAAATAGAGAAATGGAAGAAGATAGCAGTACTTGGCTGGAAGGAGAAGCGAGGATGGAGGCAGTGGAAATAGCATTTGCTGAGACAGTGGAGAAGCAAGATTTTGATGGCCTGCTTCTGTGGGGTAATAGATGATCGATGATGCTCTGAAAATCTTCCTATTTACAAGAGCAACAGGAAAGACATCCCGCCTAAATGTTATGGTAACCGTCCAGGCACGATCTCAAGTTGCACGATCTTTAGGGCTACGATCTCGCCACCAATTTCATCTACGTCTAGAATAAGGTTTTCGCCTCTGAAAATCAGAGACATACGCTCTTAGCCTCGCGCAGCAAGATTTTTCTTCCGGCCTTCATCATCCGCTGAGCCTAGGGCATATCCCTACTGCCAGAAGAGAGACGGCAATGATAAAGGGATTATAGGTTAGGGATTCACTCCCTTCGCGTGTGACGAGGCAAAATGAGGAGCTTCTACGCCCTTTAAGTCCGGATGAGGTAAAGCTTGCCTTATTTTTATTTGGAAAATGCTAGGGGTACACCATTTGGTGGTGTACTCCATTTGTCCCCCACCCCCTCCATTACCACTTAATTAGGCAAGAAAATTAAAAAAAAATAAGTAAATAAAAATCTAAAATAAATGAATGGTTATTGAAGGGGTGGTGTACAAATGGAGTACACCTTTGGTGTACCCCTAGACAAATCACCATGTCCATACTCTAATGATATGAATCCATGTTTTTTTCAACAAAAATGCACCAATTCTTGTACCCCATTTGTACCCCTCCATCTCCACCATACAAATGCAAAAGAGGGAAAAAAAATTAAAAATAAAAGGAAATCAATGGCTAAGATCAATGGTGTACAAATGGGGTACACCAAATTGGTGTACCCCTAGCATTCCTCTTTTTTCAAAAGGCATGGGACATTGTGGGGTTACAGGTTTGTAACTTTTTTTGGGATGTTTGGATGATGGAGCCTTCTCGGAAGGTATGAATGATACAAATATTGTGTTAATTCGTGAAAAGCAAAGGCCTGGACATTGTGGTATTTATTTTTGATGAATCGTGTGAATTCTTGAATTATTATTACCTCTTCTAATGGATCATCTAATGCTAGAAAAGAGTGTAATATAATGTATGTCAATAATCTTATATCCTTCCTGCTGTAATTGTTAGGATAAATAATGTCTCAACCTCAGCCAAAGTTGAGAATCACTTATCAGATTTTAACGATATACTTCGTATTAAATTCTTTTGGGGTAAAAAACTTCATTACAGAGTTCTAATACCTTTCTCTAATTATATGCACTATATATTCATTGTTTGTTGTGGAGTTTTAGGGAGAAAATCCATTTCAATAGTCTACAATCGCATCGTGATGCATGAAACTATCTCTTACAAGAAAAAAATATTCAGTCCAACATGATGGCCATTGCAGTTCCAAGTAGGTTTCTATTTTAGTCCCATTTTAAGCATTAATTTTGTGAAAATATACTCTGTCTACATTACCACATTATTTGATCTTCTACTCTACCTGTTTTAGGTTGTTGTATCCTTTTATTTAATCAAGACTCTATCTTACAAAGTATAGCATCCAATAGGACTATAATCCTTATCAACTAACTAAACAATGCATAGGCTTTCATTAGAAGTATTTCGTATAAGATGTACAGGTGTTCTTACCTGGGTTTGTGGATAAAATTGAGGTTATTTCTTGAGTATTCTTGGTATATTTACAAATAATTATTTCTCTTGATAAATAATTGTTTCTCTTTTCAATTTTGTTTATATGTTGATGTTTTTATGTTTGGATACACAGAATGACCCAAAAGACAAAGACCAGAAGGACACAATGCCACAAGAGGAGTTGACAAAAGTATTGTGGTCTCTTTGCTTTAAAATCTGAAATGAGTGACAAACAAAACCCCATGAAGTTTTACCTCTGCTTTCAGCCCTTCTGAATATAAACACTAAGTTACAATTTTCTCTTATGTAATTTACACATCTTATCGTACTCTTAACAAAAGTAGCAGGAATTTTTTCCCGCCTAAAGTTTTGGGCCTAATCACATAAATATGGGCCAGTTTTTTGGGCCAGAAAAGTTATGATAGTTTTGTTGGAAAAGGTGGCAAATTGGATCGGGTGGTTACCTTATAAGTGTTCACATTTTACAATTGGTAACAAAAAATCAATGTAATTTGAAAGTTAGTGACTTATCGTTGTATTACTTCATTCATTCTTGAAAACACTTCTATTCTAATTTTTTACGCTCCCCACAAAATATTTTTACTTTACCTAAAATGTCTAAAATAACTCTAAAACAACTTCTACCCGCAATAAACTATATAATGGGATCTACTTTAAAAATTTTAAGTGGAATTAAAAGTCTTTTATAGGGTGCACAAAAAATTAGAGCGGAAGTGTTTTCAAGAAGGGAAGGAGTACTAAATGTGGGTTGTTTTTACAAGTATGTATCATGTCGTTTATCATTGCATAAAATTCTCACCGTGCATCGCACGGGTTAAAATCTAATGGATGTTTAAGAGTGGGTTAGGGTTGGAATTAGGTCTTTTGATGTGGTGAGAGATTGCTGGGTTTATTTATAGTGAGGGAGTGTGAAGTGCTTCGAGAAGATTCTTCGACTTCTAAAGCGGTTCAAAGGGCTTGAAAAAGGTCACATAAGGCTATGGTGTGCACAATTTGGTAAACCGACTAAACCAAATCGAAACCGAAAATTTGGTACGTACCGAAACCAAACCAAATATCAGTATTCGGTTCTCATATTTTGAAAAAATCAGTTTTTGGTTCGGTAGAAAATTTGATTTGATATTTCGGTAAAAACCGAACACCGAAATTATTTAATACTTATGTATAATTTAACCCATTTCTACTCAATCTAATACCATATATCTAGCCCAATATATTGAAATAATGAATATCCAGCCCACTAAGTTTAAGTCCTATTATCTAAATTTGGAGTTATTGAAGACTCGAAATCATGAAAGCATCAAATTAATAATACTGGCAAATGTTTTTATTTTTCGGAATGGACAATTGTGTATTTGTATCAACTATTTTGATTATTTTTTGTAATGGTTCTAATTGTGTTGGGTTATTTTAACTTTGGAGTGTGTAATCTTATAATATAATATTTGAGAGTGGTACTTTAAGAGCTTTATTTTAATGACACGTCATTCCTCCACGGGTCCTAGGATGCTTCCTTGAAAACGCCCAAAATCCCCCCAAAGAAACCAAATCTGACTTTCTACGGCTTCTTCCGTCTTCTTCGCTTCACCATCCCCAAATCGCCTGATTTTTCGCATCTACACCAATCTATACGCGGATTCTTCCGGGAAGGAGGAAAGATTCCATATAATCGGCAATCAGAGAACCGCTACGAGAAGATATCGAGGTTTAATTCCAAATTTCAAATTAGGTTTTTTCCAAATTTCCAATTTATGTTTCTTTTCAAATTTCGAATTTAATTTCCAGGTCGTTTTGTTTCCAAATTTCCAGCGTATAATTTGTTTCCAATTTTCGAATTTAATTTTACTAAATTTGAATACTTCTTGATTTTTTTACTTAAAAATCTTGGATTTTTGGCCACCCATCGCGTTTAATATTGTGAAAATTTAGGAATTTTTTCCGAAAAAAAATTAAAAATCCTTTATATGTACTTTTCGAGATTTGTACTGCTTTTTCCGGAATTTTTTGGCCATGCATATTTTTTTTCCAGATTTGTACTTCTTTTTTAGACCATACATGTCGAAGACCATCCCTCCATTGTCTAAAATCACTCCAACCAGTATGTGTGCATATATGTTTGTATATTTTTTCATGTTTATAACTACATCACTAATTCAGATTATCTCTATTTCAATCGTGATTGATTCCTATTATACCTTCCCGTTTATATATGTGATAATTCAGCCGTGGTTGTGCCCCAATCATAATGTTTAAATGTATCGTGTTTATGAGTTTATAGCAGATTTTTGGAATCTTTTTCATGTGTTTGTTTTTGTTTTTCATTGAGGATTAGAAGTACATGTAAATGTTTAAATGCATCGTGCAATGCTTCTGTTTTTCATAGAGGATTAGAAGTATAATGTAAATGTTGTTATGAGATTAGTGCAGATTTTTGAAATCTTTTTCATGTGTTTTTTCTGTATCATGTTTTTCATGTGTTTGTTTCTGTTTATTGTATTTGAAAAACATGTGTGTTGAAAGACTTACTTATTTCACTTTGGTGTCTGATGGGATAAAGAAAATGGTTATTTAATATCATGGCATATGTACAAATGTTTAAGTTTTCAAACAACATTGCCACTTTGACTCAATCTAAATCCGCATTTTCTGCATTCTATTTATAATTTGCACAATCTCCATTGTCTCATTCTAAACGCCCACTGTCTGCACTGTCTGTTTAACGGAACCTCAGTGTTAAATAATCCTTTTTTTGCACAGTCTACACTTTCTGTTCAACTGATCTCAATGTTATAAGAGTTAAACGAGTTTAATGTTTTTTTGCACTGTCTGCACTGTATCCTATAATGACAAAATATAACATTGCTCAATACAACATTGGTTCGATCCTTCATATAATGTGATTGACATTTGTTTATATGAATTAGTGTATGGATATGGAGGATTGGTTTAGAGAATCATGATAAGCAATTAAAGAATCTGCGTGAAAGGAAGCCAGGCGACCCCGACTCAATGGCCTCTCTCTTGCTTGATGGGAACCAAGGCCCCTCGGGTAAGAAATCAGCTCATTCGCTTTTTTCTACTTCATCTTGGGAGATTAGGCATGCTTGAGTTGTGCATTTCTCCGCTGACAACCATGTTCACCACCTTCTCCTCCAACGTAAGTATTTTTTATTTCAATACTTCAATATCTAATTCTTCGCCATCAAAATTCACACCCAAA